GTGTGTGTGTGTGTGTGTGTGTAGGTTAATCCTGGGCATGGTGACACTAGGGAACATGTTGGCCTGTATCCTGGCGGGGAAGATCAAGGTGTCGGACCCCGTCAGCAAAGTGCTCTACAAGCAGTTCAAACAGGTGAGCTTTTTAATTTACATTTCTTCAACAAAAAATAAAAACAGAAAAAGATAGAAACAAAAATCTGTATAACTATCATTATAGTCAGGGCTGCACATAACTGGTGCGCATGCGCACCTCCGCCAAAAAAAGAGCACCGGGTCATTTGATAAAAGGCGCATTTGCGCACCAACATTGAGAGAGAGAGAGGAGAGAGAGAAGGGAAATAGAGAAGAGAGGAGAGAGAAGAGAGAAAGAGAGAAAGATATTTGCGAGTTGCATATGAACTCAGGGCCGGCCCGTGGCACTGGCGTTATAGATGTTCGCCTAGGGCGCCAGATCTGGGGAGGCGCTGCAGTTCTGGGAGGGAAAAACATTTTTTTGACCGTTGGGGCTCATCCTAATTTTCGGCCTTGATGTAACAATATTCATAATTAAGTAAATGTAACACCCTTTTCACCCCGGTTACACGTTTCATTTGCCCTGTACGATGGGCGCTGTAAATGATTAAAATGGGGGATGTTTGCTTATCTGGCGCCCGCAGCTCACAGCCAAAGTGCGAGTGAGCGAGGGAGAGAGGGAGAGAGGGAGAGAGGGAGGGTGCACCGGTACCGGCGCTGTTGTTATTAGAATCTGGTGCCGTGCTAGCTGCTCTAACGGATATAAGAAGAAGATGTTTCTACAATAATGTGGAGGGAGAGTCCTCTCCAGTCAGACTGAGAGGCTGATACTACAGCTCAGTGAGGTAAAGGACTCTGAGTGTTTAGATAGTTCACTTTAGTCTAAGTTCAAACGGTTTGGTCACAATTTATGTAAACACATATTTCCAAGGCACTCCTTTGTAATTATTGGGATAAACAGGTTTTAAATCATTCCAATGTATACTATAGGACAGTAACCAAAAATATCCTTTAAAACTGGAAAGATAAAAAAAAATGCATAAATAAATAAATGTTAAGGTAAAATAAGATATGAATGAACAACACAAATAAAATAAGTTACATTAATTTGTTATTGGCTATGGTAGGTTATTGGTTATGTTCACATACTTATTTGATTACATCCACTTGTCTAAAATGACAACAGAGACTTTCGACCCAAAACCAGCTGTTGACTTGTGGATGCAAGCAGCTAATCGCAGACTCAACCAGAGAGAAAGAAGTAGGCCTACATCATCAGCTACCATGTCTGACAGAGAGGAAGACAGTGAGGAGAACAGTGATGACAGCTTGTATTACTGGTCGTGCTAATGTTGTCTTGTGTTCACCTCTGCATGTGTGTTCAGTGCCGTGTGTCTGGCAAATAAAGTCAAGACCCCCTCAAAAGTTACGATTTATTTCATTTTATGGATGAGCACCAAGCAACATCTCCAGGTGCTCCTTTGAGAACCAGGGCAAAAAAGTTATGTGCACCCCTGATTATAGTTTATATTTGGGTGAGTAAATATTAACTGGGACTTAAATCAGTGAAATAACCAGATTTGAATGTCATTTTCTCAAATGTATCACTGATCAAATACATTGTACGCCATTGTGCATAATTTGCTTAATTGATTGATTATCTTAAAATGTATGTTATTTATTATTTGTTTTATTTTAGATCCGTTTGCATGATAATTTGGGGAAGTTATCCCGCATTCTGGAGACTGACCACTTTGCCCTGGTGGTACATGAACAGATCCAATGTAAGTATAATACACACACACACACACACACACACACACACACACACACACACACACACACACACACACACACACACACACACACACACACACACACACAGACACTTCTTTCATTCATACTGTATACCAGGGGTGCCCAACCAGTCGATCGCGATCGACCGGGAGATTCCCAGTCGATCGCGAGATGTGTCTAAAAATAGAACAACAATATTCTGTTTTATCGTTAATGTCCTATAACATAATCTTCCCGTGCCAGAATAATGCACTTGAACGCATCAAAGCTTTGTGATTGGCCGGCTAGACCCCATGTGTCGGGGCGTGGCTGGTCGGCAGTGAGCAGGGCACTATTTCGCTGACGTTGTCCAACTTGTCCGTGTCAACAGGAGTGACAGTCCGCACACACACAAGACCGCAATTATGGCAGAAGCAAAAAAGCCCAAAATATATAATTTTCACTCCGAGTGGGAGGATGATTATTTTAGTATCTATTCCAATTCAAAGTCCATCTGTCTCATCTGCAATGCGAGCGTGGCTTTATCGAAGAAGGGTAATTTAGGAGCGGCATTTCAAAACAGTGCACAAACGCTACGAGACGGAATTCCCTCCTAATTCTGCCCTACGCTCCAAAAGGGGAGGGGCCTGAAAGGACAGCTAAATGCACAGCAGTCCATTTTCACCAGGCCCAACAACAAGAGCAAGGCTGCTACCATAGCATCTTATCGTGTCAGTCACGTTCTTGCGAAACACATGAAGTCTTTCAAAGACGGCGAAGTTGTGAAAGAAGCTTTCCTGGAGGCTGCCCACGCGCTTTTGGGGACAGTAAAAATAACAGAAGCATTTCAACAGGTTTTTGATAAAAACTCAAGTTAGATACCGTTATTAATCAGCTGTAAGTTTTAGTTTGTTTGAACTTATTCATTATAATTATTGTACAAAATGGTATAAGAATGCAAACTTAAATAGATTATAGTCTATTATCAGTTCAGGTTAAGAAACTAGTGTTGCTTGCATCCTATTTTAAAGGCATTTATTTTTATAATCTACTAAAATGCAACAAAAAAATGGTTTGATTCTATTAATTGTTTCTTTTTTATTGCACTTTTGCAGCAGATTCCTGTGTAGCTTCAGATCTGTGTTGTTTTATTAGTAAGCCTCATTTATACTTTTGTAGCAACACTATTTTTATATAATGGCAAAGAAAGGGTTCAGAGTCTTTTCTTTTTCCCTGAGTCATATGTGGCACTGTTCAATGCTTCTTGAAAACATTACCCACTGTAGTGACGTGTGAATAAACTCCAACTCTGTATCAACAACACTGTTGCGTAACTTCAGTTAAATACTTGTGTAGATTAGAAAGAGGTAAGATAAAGGATCTGCAGTATTTTATGAAGTATTCATCGTACAAAGGTCAGTTTTATACAAGTAGAAGTGTGTGTTTACCTGGTAGGAGGCTGTCAGTAATGGCTATGCCTCTCTATTTGGACTGGTAGATCTCGGCAGACTGGCAACTTTAAAAGTAGCTCTTGGTTCAAAAAAGGTTGGGCACCCCTGCTGTATACTCTCATTAACCGAACCTGCAGGTGCATTTTTCTTCATCAAAAAAGCCGATAACATGTGTTTGTGTAACTTTGGCTCCCTCTGGTGGCAGTATCCAAAAACACAAGTTGAAAAATCCCTCCATATGTTTGAGAAAAATAAAGAACTTTTCGAACATTAAAGCATGTAAGCAAGTCACAGTAGAGGCACACAATTCAAATATGAACCTTAGAATGAGCATAATAGGACCCCTTTTTAAAAGAGTAAGTGAATGGTTAATTGATCATTTTGTTATCTCTATCCTACTCATCACGGCTCTCTCTTCCATCCTTTTCTCCCTCAGACTTGACGGACGGCTCTCCCAGCCTGAAGCAGATGGTTTTCGGAGTGGTGACCGCCGTCGACCTGCTAGCCTTCGTGACAGGGCGGGAAAGGAGGGAGAGATCCATGTCGGAGTCCACCGACGAGCTGAACTGAACCAAAATGCTCTAGCTTTTTTAACACCAACAAAGAAGATATAATAATAATCTTGTGAAATTATTTGATTGAGGTTAGTTCTCAAAACAAAATCCGTTTTTTTTTGTATTTCTGAAAATGAGTCTTAAGGAATAATAAACAAAACATGTTGCGCATGTATGTATAGGGTTACTTATGATTTTAAACGCTCGATTATTATATTTACTTTTAGTGCTCAAAGCGAATCTTTAGTTTTGTATCAGGGTCTTAAAAAAAGACATCTGCGTTCCACTTTTATTTTTATTTGTCAACATGTTTCACTGTAGTCTGCATCAATCAAACATCAGATACAAGACATAGACATGTATCAAATCTAATTGATCAGATAAAGAAGTAGATAGCTGCTGTATATAAGCATATTATCTTCCCAGTGCTGCTCTTTTTATGTGCCCAAAAAAGAAGTTCATGCAGAGTTAAATCTATTGGTGATTTGGTGTGCTTTCTTTTTTCAACACAGCGCCTGTGATGTAACTGTAAGGTTAAAGTATTTAATCTTTGCTATGTCTGAGAGAAATGTTTTTTATTTCATTTTATTTTTCCTTAATGAATGTGTATGATTAAATAAAGCTTTTACGGTATTATCTGACTGTTTGAAAATCATTTCTAGAGTTTTCGCTAAAATTGCTATGTTATTTAGAAACAAATCAACATTAAACTTATTTAATTTGAGTTTCTTTTAATAATTTCCCGTTTTTCATAACTTCAGACCCAATAATATCCTCAAAATCAAACAATAAAATGAATGTTGAAGTTGCTTTATTTTAACAGGTCACTAAAAAAATATGCTCTAGTTAAGGTGACTCAGGTGATATACAAGTTTACAAAAAGTACCTGAACGCAACCTGGAATGACTAATATCTTCGTAATGAAATGTTCCTAATTTATACAACAAGACGTAAACGCAAATATTAACACTCATTAACGCGCTGTGTTTGTGTCTGCCATGTGGTTTGTGGCGCATGTTATAGTGAACACTTACTACCGTACAGGCGGGGCTCCATTCGATGCTACCTGTGTTTAATTGCAGAGGTAAATCCCCGCCCTGACAAGCTCTTCTCCGGTGCACGCTGGATTAGTAAAGGTGCGAACCCCTTTACGTTGGCAGTATCCAATCAGCGCTGTCCGTGGCGATGTATGTGTTGTGTTGAAGCTGCTGCTACGAGCAAGACTACACAGGCAGTATGGCGGAGGAGGGCAGTGGGTGCGAGTTAGAGGGGCTAGAAAAACAATTAGAGAGTTTGTTGGGCCGCTACTCAAGTGAAGAATTGCAGGCCGACAGTAAGCCTTTCTGCTCCGACTTTTGCGAGGTAAGGAGCCGTGGCTGAAGTTGTTGACAGGCTTGTTGACAGAGATAATGGCATATATGTTAGCCGACTCCCCTCCCCCAGAACTGGCCGCTACACAGCTACCATTAGCAGCTAGGGTTGTTAGCATCTAACAAACGAGTCGTATTGGCTTCAAAAACAAATATATTACATTAACATATCGTAAACATTATCACTGACATCCCAGCCTCAGATTTAAAGACATCATCGAATCTTCTGAGTCACCAAATCAATCAAATATTGACGCGTGTTTACAGTACAGTTAGCTAGCTAACACGGCTAATCGCTTTAGCCAGTTAGCCCACAATTTGCCAAAAGTTAGATTAGTTAGTCTGCTGAATGTTTACCAAACTGCCGAGTGGACAACTTTTTTGCACGTTTACAACAAGTTTAGTTATTAATTAGCCAGGGAGTAATTTAGTGGACGTACACTCCTATAACTTAATGTTGTTTTGCAATTAGCAACCCTTAGTTGTCATGCATTTGCCTGGAAGACCAACTTTGACTAGGCTTAATTATCCGTCTTAACCAACATGGGGTGTAAATGTACCTTTGCCGTTTTAAATGACATAATTCCTGTAATCGCAACATGTCCTCTTACGTTGACATGTTTGTTATGCATTAATCTAAATGCATAGATACAGTAAGTACATTTAGTGCATTTAAATGTCTGGTATTGCTGGTAAATATTCACTAAAGAGTCTTAAACGGGGTATTAGCATTACCACCAAGAGTGAAAAGGGGTGTTTTGTTTTCCTGAGGACTAATCCAGAAAAGATGTTGCTTCTGAGCTATTGGCATGCCATTTCAACTTTAAATTCTCTGTATGAAAACACAACTTATGAAGCTGTATACAACACGTTTGGTTATCAGTTAGCTAGTGAGGAATTTCTCTGAGTAAACCAACCTCTATCTTAATGTTGTTATGCAATTAGCAGCCTTAGTTATGATGCATTTGCCTCCAAGACCAACTTTAATTATGGCTTTATTAGCTATCTTAATAAGCAAAAACACATGTAAAAGTTTGCATTATTACATGACATAATTCCTGTAATCACAAGATGTCCTCATACCTTGACATTTTCATAATGTGGTCAAATCCGAGATAATATTTTGCTATTAGCCATTAGCATGCCACTTAAACTTTACATTCAAGGTCTAACAGCGATTTGAACTGAGTCCATCAAGCCAAACCAAAGCTTGTGCTACAGTTTTATATTGTATAGATTGGAGAAAGGCCTGAGGACAGCATAGTGACAGTTCACAGCATTCAAGTGGTGCGCAAGTCTGATGACCTAGATCTCCACCGTTAGAGGGCAATATAAGCACATTGTATTATAAGGATTGGACAGTTTGATTGTTAGTATTATGTAAGGTGCACTAAAATGTTCCTTTTTGGTTGCACACTTTAGTATAAATGTGTTATAAAGGAAAGCTGCTGAAATAGCTGTTAGTCAACATGCCGTACCAAATGTGTTTTCATTTGAGGTTTATATTAAAATATGTGGCTCATCCATACAGATTCATTACCATACATTAGTGGATGTCGGGGTCTATTTTCTCCTGTGTTTCTATGTAATGTACCAAACCAAGGTATTGGTTGTAGGGCTGCACAGCCTTAAAATATCTTATTTTGGTTTACCCACAGTGTTATTCACAAACAGAATTGATTGACCATGTTATGGAATGGAGAAAATCAGGGTGTTTCAATATTTAAAGGAGGAAGACAGCATTGGATGACATTGACAGCATTGGATGACATTGACAGTACATACGTGCCTCTGGTCTTGATCTGGTTGCATCACCAATGTACCACCAACTGCTGTTAAACATCTAACATCGCAGACTATACATGATAAACTGTACATGCTGTTAACTGTCCTTGTGTTCTTGTCTCTGTTTTGTCTCTTCTCCGTGCAGCTGGTGGAGCAGCATGCCTCTGGCTGGCAGGTGCCGCTGCCTCAGCTCAGGATCCTTGAGAAAGCTCTCCGCTACTTCGCCCGAGCCTCCACCTTCTTCACGTCAAACTGTGATCATGTTCTTCACACACTCAGCAGTCTGGCTTTGTAAGTACACAGACCCTGCTCTAAAGACTTGACACAGATTTTACATACTGCTTTGAAAGGTTATTTTTTATTTGAAATCTATCTTTCTTGCTCATCACTAATGTTAGCTTTGCAAATTCACTGTGTTGACAATGGCATTGTTACATTGCTGCCTGGACAACAACATATCCAAGACCCTTTGAGATTCCCTTTAAAAAGAAAGAGTTTGTTTGTGTTGTGTTCTGGTTCCTGGTTTGTTCAGTTTTGCTTGGCTCACAATTTAACTGATGTCAAATTGTGAATGAATGAAACCCTTTAATACCCCTCACTGAGTTAGCCTTGCACAATGTGTCCTTGGAAAAGCAAACATTAAACATCACGCACCCTGAAAAAACACTAGACATTAAGAAAACAAGGCATTATCTCTTAACCATACACAAGTTAACAACCCTATAAACATCTATTTGTTATGTTGAGATAAAAGGGGGTAATGTGCACCTGATCAGAGAACAAAGTCATTCTCGCTGTGTGTGTTGTTATCCAAGCCTATCTGCGCTTTGTTCGTGTAGACGGTACAGCTGGGCATACATGGTAGTACATGCTTGTGTGTATGTCATACTGGCTAGCTAATGGCCTCTGCTCTGCACTGTTATCATTCATCATTGATGGTGCTGTTCCTTAGCGTGGAGCCCTGTTGCTGTTGGTTGTACAGTTTGTGCAGCCAGCTCAGCCATCGCCATGTTGAGGATTTCCCTCAATCACAAACATTCTGTGATTCTGTATAAACACCTTAGAATCCTTTCAAATTCACAGACAGAGAGAAAACATTTCAAATCAATTGCATACAGAGAACAATGAGAACTTTTTTAACGATACAACAAGTAAAACCTTTGTTTTTATATATTTGTCAACCACATTTAAAGCCTTATATATTTGTGCACAGGTATTGGCAACATCAACAGCAGTAAATAAACAAAGCGGTTCATATATAAAACATTTAGTAAAGACATTGAATGTTGATTGTGTTCATTGGCTCAAGCAACTCATTTGCAAGCCAGGAAAAATACCCGGCGTGCTGCCAGCTGTTGACTTCACTCTATCCTTCAGGGTTTCTATAAGCTTCATAATTAACTGCATTCCTCTGCCTTTCTATCAGCCAGTGTTTTTACAGCAACGTAAAGATTAGAATGTCTGTTTAAATCAGGGTTGGTAAAAGGAAGCCACATCATTTTTGATTTCCCCACAGGAGTGTTTTTGAGTTGCTGCTGTTCTTTGACCAGAAGGACTTCCATCAGGAGCCACTGAAACACTTCACTGTTACGTTCCAGGTGAGCATGGAGTGCAGATCTCTGTTTATTCTTCGCGTCTCAAAACGGTTCAGAACTATATATCCATGGTTAAAATGCTCCCAAAATAAAAATGGTGCTCATGCTCTTTCAGGAATGTCACTTGTCCCTTGCGAGGCATCAGAATGTACACTTACTTCAGGTGGAGCGATCGGTTCGGAGCGGCGGGCCTTGGGCCGGCCCAGCTTTACAGGCAATCCTCAGTGAGTCCAGCTTACCTCAGAGTGAAGGTAGGTTCCCCCTCCCCTGTTATATAGGTTTTTGTTCATTGCCGATGTTCTCAATAGTTGTTCCTTGTGTTTGTCTTGCTATTTTCTCAAGCCATATCAAAGTAAACTAAATCCTTACCCGTCTCTTGACTGCTCCTCAGTGGATGTGTGCGTCAGCTCTGAGCTGCCGGTGTTCTTCGAGCTGCGGGTGCGCTACCTCTTGTCCTGTGAGCGCGTCAGCGAAGCGTTGGCGCTGGCTAAGTGTTGTTCTCGGCATCCCACCGCAGGACAACACCTGTTCTTCCTCCAGGTCTACCTCACGTGGCTTTTCAAAACCTCGCAGCATGACCGCCTACATAAAGAGGTGGGTGGAGCGACTGTAATGCGGACATTTGTTTCTTTGAAGTTTGAAATGTGTATGAGAGTCTTAGGCTTTAACTAATGCTCACATTTTCATCAATTCTTTTAGCTGGCTGACTTTAACGGTAAAGATGCAATTCACATCATCTGCCGTTTGGAGTGTGAGGAAAAGGATGAGGTGCTCCTCGCTCTCAGCAGAGTCTTTCTTTCCCAGCAGCTACGCAGAGGATACATGTACTACTTGTGGTAAGCAAATCTAAATCTGATCGCGTGTCGCCAATTGAGGGCCCCTATTCAAACCAGCGTTAACACTTTCTATCTCTGATCCTCGCAGTGATCTCGTCTTCGTGTGGAGTAAACTTCATAATCGATTGAATACATCCAAGCAAGTTCTACTTGAGGAGAGTCATCAGCTGCTGTCGTCTGCCAGCAATGTCAACTCAATCTTCCCGTTCATCAGAGCCGTACTGCAAGAGGTGACAGACATTAATCCGCTGTGTATATTCTTTAATTAGATACCATTTCCATATTGATGTTAAACCTCTGTTTGTCTGTCACTAGCTGGGTGAAGATGGTCTCCAGTTCTGCGTGGAGCTCTGTGCTAACGCGCTGGGTTCTTGCCGTCCCTGCGATGTCAAAACAAAGTCCCTCATCTACAAAACCATCGCCGGCCTGCTACCCAATGACCTAGAGGTTTCCCGGGCCTGTGCTCTTCTTGTCTTCTTCCTCGAACGCACCGTTGACACCTACAAGATGGTGTACCTTCTTTACATGCATCCTGATCAGGACTACCACGTGGAGCACAGCCCCATCAGAAACCACATTCGCTTTGAAACCCTGCAGGTAGAACACTTTTAAAACAAGTCCTCAGAGAAAAGGCAGAGTTTCTGTTCAGCTGACGGTCTAACATTTTCTTTTCCATCTCTCCGCAGGTCTTGAAGAAGGACCTGTGTTTTGACCCAGAGTTTTGGAACCTCATTGCTCTGCGGTCCAACTGTTTGAAGCTGCTGAGCGACAAGGTGGATAGCAGTGCTCTCGAGGAGATCATGGAGGACAAATGGATCCTGAGCTATCGCACCAAAGATCCTGCTTCTCGATCGAGAAAATCAGTGTGTCAGAAAGGAAGTAAGGGGGCAGGAGCCAAAAAGCGGCACCACAAAGAGGATACCGACACGGCATCTAAGAGAATAAAGGGCACGGGCAAAACACGGCTAAATGACCACACTGTAAAGAAGAAGGGGAACCAAGGGTCGCCATCATCGGAGCCTTTGAGGCGGTCATTTTGGCAGCTAGACAGACTGCAGGACAATGTAGCCGCAGAGTATGGGGAACTTAGACGGGCTACACGGCTCTCAGAGAAAAACCCAGCGAAACGGAAGATTAGAAAACCCAAGTGGCTTCTGGAAGACTCGGGAACTCACGGAGGAAATAATGTTCCTAGGATTAAAAAGCATGGGTTGAAACATCAAAAGCACTCCGTCGTTAGGAGGTCTGAATCTGGTGACCTCAAGAACAATTCCAAACACAAACTCTCTCATTTAAAGGACAAGAAAAACAACGGCAAGCAGAAGAAAGGGTTTCCGTTGGACTCAGTTAAACCATCCGCTGCTCCACAAGTAGTTCTTGAGCTTTCGCTACCAGACAACGAGCTGATGGGAACATTTACTGAGGACTCGTTCAACAGACAAAGAGGTTTCCCTCAAATGCTTTTTTACAGACCTACAATGAAGGTTCCTGCCTCGTCGCAACCTGTGAAGCCTGTACACGGCAAAGAGGTGGTTCTCAGAGCACGGGATTCAGCCATGTTTCTACAGCAGCTGCACTGTTATGCTCGGCGGAGGAAAGGTAGAGGCAGCGCTGTGAATATTCAAGGCTCGGTGTCCACCATCACACGCTCTTCTGTGCAGGGAAGTCCCCCGAAAGACCCGCAGAGAGAGCTCAGTGAGAAGCCTGCCGCTGACGTTAAACCTGGAAACACCTCGCTGACACCGGCAAAAGTTGCGAAATCCCCGGTTTCGGAAAAAGTCCCTCAAGCTCCAACTTCAAAAGCAGTCCCACGAAAGATATTCTCGGGAAGAGAACTCTCCAAAAAGTCTGCTGTTGAGATGAAAGTTAACAATGTTTCTACACCAGCGAAAACTGAAGTTACCGAAGTCCCAATGTTGGATAAGGTCCTGCAAGCTCACACGATATCTTCAGAGAAAGAGCTCTGTGAAGAGTCTGCAGTCGAGATGAAAGTCACGATAGCATCAACGGCGTCTGAAGTGACTCAACCTTTAGGTTTGGGAAAAGGCTGTAAGGCTGAAAAGATAAAAGACGCTTCCAAAACAACTCCACCTGAGGTCTCGCAGACGCTAGTTACTGATAAAATCCCTCCAGTCTCAAATACAGCCACGGTTTCAATCATTGGAGCTGCTGATCGAACGCCCTCAGAGTCCCTGGAAGTGAAACCAGAGCTGAAGTTACTCTCTCCTCAGGCGGAAACGAGCAAAACTCCCGTGGCCCAAGCTGACACCACAGAGATGCTCCCCACTGTCGACAACAGCATTTGCGTCGTGGATATTGCAGATGTTTCCCTCTCAAAAGCACCGGTGCCTGGTGAAAATGATACACATGGAGGATCAATGGTCACACCTGCTGATAAAGACAGTTTAAAGGACATATCTGCTCTGACGTTAGTAACAGAAGTGGTGAGTGAACTTGCACCCGAGGCCCTGGCTCGAGACCTGGAGAATCACAAACAGCCAGCTCCACAGGACGGCTCCTCTACGAAGTTGGTGGTGAAAAGGAAATCTAGAGTTCCTCGCAAGTTCCTCAAGACCTCCAGCAGCTCTGGGCTCTCTGACGTGAAGGAAGAGGGATTTCCCTTTATTGATCTGGAAACACTTGATGAAAGCGAACTACCAGAAACCGAGGAATCAAAGCTGGAGTTCTGTTGTACCTTCTGCAACAAGACCTTTAAGGGGAGTGTTGTCATAGCACACGCCATGTTCCACTATCGCAGGGACGAGTGCATGTTCTGCGGGACGATGTTCAAAGACGACCTTCTGGCCATGATGCACCTGTCCGACCACATAGAGAAGCTGAAGAGGAGCAAAGAGTCGGCCGCTCAAGTAAACTCCGTCTCTAAAACCAAAAACGTCTCCACAATTAAGACCTCTTCCAAAGCCAAGACCCCGCGCATGTCTTCACGGCGCCGCAGTAGTGAGAGACAAAGGAGATCCACAGACTCTTCTCAATCAATAAGCCTTCCAGATTCACCCCCGTCCAGATCCAGAGAGTTGAGATCCAAGTCAGTGGACGGTGGATCTTTACATGAAAAGAAAGAAAACTCTTCAAAGCACCTTAACAGTAAAAGCCCTGTTCAGAAGGTAAATGGGCATATTATATTCAAAAAGGAAGAGCTTGGTAGACCGAGGAAGGACGCGGGAGCTAAGCCAACAAAGCAGGAGACTTCTCCAGGAAGAACAAATGATAAAGCCGAGAGTCCCAGGTTACAAGAAAACCAAGACTCCACAAAAGAAAGTAGGAAAATCGTTGAGAAAAATGTGGAGGAAAAAGAGAGACTATGCTGTCCGGTGAAGGGGTGCGCTTGGTTTACAGACCAGTCAAAAAAACGTGTTGCGCTCCTTTACCACGCTCTCGAAGATCACAACGGCGAGGAGAACGTTTTACACCTGGCCTTCCGTGTAGGAGACGGCAAATGTAGCAGCTGCATGAGGGTCATGTGGAGTTTTGAACATTTTCAGCACCACGTGGAAAGACACCGGCTCGCTCCTCGGCATCCTTGCCTCCATCAGGGATGCGCGGCCAGGTTCAAAACGGGGATAGAAATGCGACGCCACACCAGGAAGCACAGTCCGCTGCAGGCAGTGTGCTGCCTCCCTGGCTGCTCGCAACTCTTTATCTGTCTCTGGGCACTGAATCTTCATGAGAGAGAGCACTACGCTTCCAAATCCACTAAAGCAGACAAGAACACCAATGAGCAAACGGGAGACAAACACAATAACACTCTGCACGGGAAGAAACAGCCAAATCATAAGCCAAAAACTGCTGCAAATAAATCTGTGAGTGTCAGATCTGCTCGTAAATTAAGAGGAGACGCCACACATAATTCGTCAACAGAAAAACCAGCTGAGTCTGTTCAGAAAGATGAGTTGAAAGAGAAAAAGGAGACCAAGGACTCACACGTATTAAAGAATCTCTCTAACAAGGACACTTGCACACAGCCCGCTGGCCCTAATCTCAGATTAAGGCACATGTTGAGAAAAGTAAAAAACACAACCAGAAGTCACAGAGTCATCTCATCTGCGTTAAAACACAATATCAAAGTGAGGCACAAGTTCAAGAAGAAGGAGGTCAAAGTCGACACAAAAGGTCCGAAAAGAAGAGGGCGTCCTCCGAAGGCAAAGGTGGCTGTGCATGATGAGAACACGACTGATGCTCCAAACAGTCAAACTGTGGTGGAAACGACTAAAGCAGAGAAGATCGAGTCAAAAGAAGAAGAAAAGAGTTTGCACGTCCAGGATGTTGCACAAATTACAGAAACGTCAATCAACGAATCAAAGTCTAAGATAAACAAGCAGATGAAGAAGAATCATGTTAAACAAAACAACATCTCTACAGCTATTGTGGCAGTTAACGGCTTGAATCAAGAAATCAGCACCACCTCTGCAGACAAAGTGCGGAATAAAGTAAAGAAACGCGGCGCTGCCACAGGAAGCGGTGGCCTAACTGCTCCTTCGGACTCAAAGAAGCTTAAGGTTACGGAAAAAAAAGCCAATGCAAAGATTGTCAGGAAGAAGACTCCTGTCAAAGAACCAACGTCGATCTCCTCTAACTCTGTGCCTGCTAACGGTTTGAATCTCATCACCGCACCACCCAACACCTCAGGAGAGAAAACACAGACGGTAGGAAAGTCAAGGAAACCACAAAAGAGAAAAGAGGAAAAGCAGGACCAAATTCGTAAAAAAGTTGATAAGAAAATGCCCAAGGGATGCAAAGATGTGAGCAAAGCATCTCTGCTAAAGAAGTCCAAACCTGCAGAGAAACAGGCTAGCACATTAGCAGAGAGCGCTACTGGTGTGGGAGATACAGAAACACAGAAGGGAACAACGGAGGAAAACTCCATTCACCCCAACACAGCAAATAAGAAGCGCAAGAATGTACAAGAGGAAGGTGACGCAGAGATTGTCAAGAAAACGTGCCAAGATCAGAGTGGTGCATCAGCGTCTGAGGAGCCTGTGAACACTGAGGAGAAGGAGGTGAAAGCAGAGGAGAGGGCTCTAAAGGAAGAGGAAACACAGAGCTCTCTACCCAGCAGCCCTGGTTACACTCTACTGAAGAACGGACAAGCAGCAAAGGAAGTGAAACAGGAAGTTCTTCCAGGGTACGGTAGGAGGCCGTATGTGCGTCCCCCACCGACTGCATACCTGGATGAGAAGTACATCACCATGCCGAAGCGGAGGAAGGAGCTGTTCTCTCAGTCGCCTCAGAAGAGCCCCCCCCCTCTGCAGACCTGCGCTGCAGCGTCTCCGCAGAGACAACGCTGCGCCAACTGCTTCGTGACCTTCAACAGCGCCGAGGATCTGCAGGGTCACCTCAAGCTGAAGAAGTGCTCCAACCTCTTTGGATTCGACTCCGACGACGAGGGTGAGTCGTGAAATAGATATTAAAAAATAAATCGGAAATAACATCTCTGGCGTTACAGCAGACATATTCGCCGTGCAAATGGATGAAGACAATACACGTTTAAATAATGGCATTACTCCCTTTTTGTCTGCCATAGATATTATGATTATATCGTGAATTACGACACCCTTAATGAGGACTGTATAGTGACTCTTAACAGATGATATTTGTGTCATGGTAATAAAGTACCACATTATTGGGTAGCTGTGTCATAATTCTCTTTTTTTCCCGTTTCAGGCCACATTTTTTAACGTCTTTTTTTAAAGAAGTCAGAGTGACTTTTGGAGGGATAACAAAGACCCGCACGGACCTCTCCGGATGACCTACTCCCCGATGTTGGCAAGGACTCGTGCATCTGGAAGACCTGAAGGGTTGTCCTGACGTTCCCTGCAGCATATGCCTGTAACACAAGGCCCGGGAGCGGCCGTGGGAAAACCGCTCGATAAAAGACAACTGGACTGAAAGCCAGTCAGACCGTTAGCAGTACAGCGAAGTGCCTGCTCTGGATCCGCCGTGCTGGTTCCAGCTGCTTCCTGGAGATTAATGTGGCTTAAAAAGACTTCTGAAAGCTGTGAAACAAAAACTGATGTTGAGACTGCTCCTGCTATCATCACCATTCATATTTTTCACAAGCCATATAATGTTTGCTTTTTGCACTGTTCTCATAATATTCTTTCTGCTTAAACCCTCAACAAATCTTATTTTAACACCCTATATTTTTCCTAATCTTTGAACATTTGTAAAATTGCTGTATGGAAAATGTATACTTATTGTTTAAATACTTCACACATCCCTATGGGGTTAAGTCTAAGCTAGTCTTCACCAGTAGGGGGGAGTGTGCACCAATCTCTGCAAAACGCAACATATTATTATTTGCAATTGAAGGATTTTACCATAGGATTTTATACCAAGCTGCTCCACGGTATTTCACTGGACGGACTTCCTGTCATCAAGCTATATTTTTTTAGCAATAACAATGTGCCAGTGTCTCTCTCTCTCTCTCTCATCTGAAAATGTTCTGTGTTTTATTCACTGTGAGTGGAGCAGCTAACAAATATTATATGTCCTCACCTAGCCATAGATGTTATCTTTACTGTCTATAAACACTTTTTCTCTTTTAAGGGGAATGTTTGTGCAAACCACAGTTTACCGTTTTTCAATATCAGCAGCAGCAGGAAGTTATATTTATTTATGTTTTATTTTCTATCTTTTGTAAATATTTGAAGAGTTTCAATGGCTTATTATATAAGGGGGTATTGGATCTGGGTTTATATTTTGTTCTTCAGGTAAAAAATAAAACTGATTTCAAATTGCAACTATTCGGCTGGCTTTCACACCGTGTGTCTCCATCTGAGGAATGAGCAGTTTGCGCCAACATCTTGAAATAAAAGGTTTCGATGCCCTGTTGACAGATAAGACAGCGGTATTTGACAGTGTGCTGTTGAGAAAGAAAATATTAAGTGTCACTCAAAAGACAATGCCTCAACATTGAAAACCTTTGGCTTTAATATTTTGATGAATTACTTCAAAAAGTGTGCACAACTCCGCACTAAAAGGTTTGCTGGAGGACATAACTAATAACCAAATATTTAAATTGTAATTACATTTTCCTTATTTAAAAGGAGCTGACCCTACCAGAGGAGCTTCATGGACTAGGGATGTGCATCTCCATCACTGAGGCCGATGCGATGCGCATCTCGATACGTTGCCACGATACGATACATTAACGATACATTTGAAACACCAGGCGATGCGATACGATTCACCCCTGTTGCGATACAGTTCGATACGATTTGATTCAACATTATGCGATTCGGTGCGATACGATGCGATTCAACACGATGCAAAAATAATGATACTTCAATTTGGTACGACAGAGGATTTTTGTTTTATTCCTTATATGCAGCAAATCATACATTAACAAAAAAGTGCTTTACATATTTGGTACTGCACATCCCATCATGCCGTTTATTTTTTACCTTTAAAAGCTCTCCAGAGTACAATGTTATAACACCTCACAGTTAAACAATGTAAGGATGCATTGCTCATGATTAACAATGTGCAAATAACAGCTACCATAGAGCAATGCCCATACAGCTGCTGCCTGATGTGCTTAACACTCATTCATAGGCTAACTCACCAGTGAGCAGAAAGCGGTGGGTTCTATATGAACAATAAAGAATACAAATAACCTTTCACGAACAGGTATTTCATAACTGCTTACAGTGAGGAATACATTTAAATTATTATTGGCCGTCACAGGCTGCTGTAAACTAAACACCACTCTCTCTGACAGAACACCTCACTGAGTGATTTAACTCATATGTCTAACTTTGAGGTTTCTCTTTTCAGCCGCAGACCCCATGTCGACTCTTTATGTGCGTCGCTAAGTTCCTCGTACTACTTGTGTACTTTAAATCGGCTCGGCATCGTTAACAATTTGCGAGCGATTTTTCAAGTTGACCGTCTGTGCCGCGCACATATACCATCAGGACGTTACTGATGGGGTTTCGGCTGCGGAGTGATACTGTGTGTATGCAAGCCCGCATCTAGGACGGATCTATGTATCATGGCTGTAGACCTGTTAAGTAATAAAGATACCTCATATAAAGGTCTACGGATACCTTATTACTCTCCATGACCTGCGGTCAACTATATAGCCTAGCATAAAGGACTATTACACCGTCTTTCTTGAACAATCCGAAGTGTTACCAAACGTTTGATTTGTAGGTATTTTTCGGTGCGCTGTGTTTCTCTTTCTCCTCGACTTCCGTGTGTGTTGATAACTGAGACTCTCGGCCTCCGTAGTGGCGAAGATATCAAAGATCGTCTCTGCTGAGCGTTGACAAGATGAGGGGATTTTATATGAATGAATCGGTTTTTTACCGATGCAAAGACGCTACGCAATCGATGCATCGCGAGTTCAACCCGGTTCAACCCAAACTGTAGCCGATGTGCACTCTTTCAACCGGTGCACTCGCATCTTGAACGTTTATGCCGGTGCACCGATGCGAATCGGTGAATCTTAACATCTCTATCATGGACACTTCATGGTAATTTCAAAGGAAATAAATCCCCCTTTGTCATGGTCGGTCAGTGATATAACATCTTGATTCCACAGATTGAATGTGTTTCAACTAGCCGAGTAATTATGTAACGAAGCAGACAGAAAGGAGATCTCTTAGTTTACCATGTGACTCAATGTTTGTTGTGGTAGACGCAGACAGGAAGAGAGAGAATGCGAAGAGGAAGACACAGGAAACCGCAGGTAGAGTCAAGTTCTCACCCACAGCAGTGTGTGTGTGTGTTTTGTCTAAGCTAAACATTATATATAAGACCATAGAAATAACAGTTAAAGCAACTTTTGAGGTGAAATGTAGCAAACTCTTGCTCTCACGAATTATTGTTGACTTCCTGGGCAGTAAAACACTTGTTTCTTAATTTCAATAATTAAGATGTTTTACTGTTCTTTATCATCCATGACGCACAAGCTCATAAAGATTGACCTTGTTCCGGATAAAATGACCTTTTAAACAGCATAATATTCGAATTATATGTCAAAAGTATTCACAACAAAAGTGAAAATATGACAGGAAATAAAAGGCCCTTTTAGTTAGCATGGTATGGCTGTAGCACACGGTGGCTAATGTTAGCTAGTGTAACATGCTGAGATTAGTTGATGTAGCAAAAGGTTAGCATTTAGCTTTATCTCATAACTACCCAAACGTTGCACTTTAAATGCCAATTGTTTTCTAAAATATTAAAACAGAGCATATTCCTCACCTGTTGTCTCTGCCAGAATGCTTTTACAAACAGGGACACAGTATATATCAGTCAGAGAAGGCTTTTAATACTTTAAATATTCAATAGTAGCATGATAAAAGACGTTTTTCTTTACATCCATATAGCACACGCTACAATCATCTCTACATAAATCTTCATCCCAACATGTCATTGTTTTTTAAAAGCTTTCATATGAATCTTGCAGTGCGGACAATTAAAAACACAATTTTTCATAGTTATTAAAAACTGCAAAATACAAAAATCGCAAAACAACATTTAGTTAGGGTAGAGACTTAAATACATATGATTCCATATTTAAAATATCAGTATTAAATATGACAACGTTTAAATATTTACAAATAATATTACTCAAGAGTGTAAAGTTAAATTACTTGAAGAGTTCCCATTGATTGTGATCAGACACTTGCAGCTCGACAGGCAAGTAGAAACTGGAGGAGGTGTTTGGGAGTGTTGGGAGTGTTTAAATTAGCGTTTGATTAAACAAGTTCTGCCTCTTTCTCTAGCAAAAAGGCTGAAGGAAAATTAAGACGTTTACTGTAGGTAAAAAGAAAAAGCTTTACTCCATCTCTTTTGTTGTTCTTGTGTTGGAAACAGCCTCTGGTCCATCACCAAAACATACTGTCACCAGTTCCACGTCGAGAGCCCGGCAACATCACATTACATGCAAAATAAATCCTTCAACCTCTCAAATATCCCACCACTGCCAAAGGGCCTGCAGCATATTTCATCTAAAAAAAAAAGAGGAGCATGGAGTCTAGTCTGTCATTATTTTATTCCACTTTCCATTTCACACAGTCATGAGTGGTTGAAGGTCTTGCTCGAACACGTTGCAGCAGGGGTAAGCGCTGCCAAGGAGTCTGATTCCCCCCCTCGCTGTGGAGCTTTTAAGCAGGTGTGATTACCTGCTTCCAGTCAGAGGTCTCAAAGAGTCAAACACATCCTCATTTTCTCCACTTTTATGAGTTTCCCTGCCTTTTCTGTGCCACTTGAAAGTATCCTCAGAACAGTGAGCATTAATAAAACTCCTCCAGGCTGCTGTTATAATCCAGTAGTATGTAAATGTGTCCTTCCACCTTCCTGTAAAGAGGCATTTCCGCCTTTCCCCCCCTAAATGTAGCCTCATGTTGAAGGGAAGTACATGCGGTTTTTGCTCCTCTGTCTGTGTGTTAATTCCAATCGGACGGCCTCAAGAAGTTGGGGATGCACTGGCAGACGCTGTAGCTGTAGTAGTTACCCGCCTGGCACACAGGTTGGGGCTTTCTGCACGGCAACTTGTTACAACTAGACAGAGGAGAAAGCCAGAAAAAACACGATCAAGAGGTAGAAAAAAAGAGAGGAGAGTACAAAGAATTTGGAGGCGGAAAAAGTAGACCAAATGATGCAAACGGGCGGATGAGAGGCGTGGAGAATCAATAAAAAATAACACACAGGGGATTCTCTCTTGGCATGCTCAATCATTCAGATCTCGTTCGGATAAAACCCCTGATCCAAGTTTTATTTTGCATCAAACGGTTCTGTGCGTGAGAAAAAGACGGAGCATGTCTCCGGAGAGGGAGAAATGGCTAAATTCTGGGAACTCATCCTCAAAATCACAGTAGGTGCATTGTCTTCCGTGCACCACCTCCTGTTACCAGATGTTGAATTATATTATCAAAGGAAATCAATGTGATATGAATGTGCATGCTTTATTCTTACATTCTAGTGTTAAAACAGTGATTTGCTCAATTGTAAAGATCTCTCGAGCTCAGAGAGTTCCTTCCATTACTTGCTCGTATGTTGGTGAACTTTCCCACATGATAGGAAATCACTCATATATGTTTTTCCTTGTCCCTTTCTCGGTCTCTGCTCACTGTCATCACGCTGCTCCAGCCTGCCCGCCTGTCTCTCTGCAGGCCTCTGGGGTCAGGGGGAGGTTGATCTCTTGCATGCTGGCTGTGGGAAACCGCGACACGCATGCATTACATGAACACCACTTGGACCTGTGTCCATAAAAGGTCGTATGGAAACATGTGAGCGAAATATTTTCTCGAGTTCGGAATGTATGACATGTCCATTGAGAGTTTGCTTGCTTTCTCCCCCTCTCCAAGCTCTGGTTCTCACTCTTTCCTCACCCCTTTTTCTCCCACAGAAAGCTTTGTGATGGCACCCTAAGGGCCGATCAACAGACTGGACCAGTTCCCCCAGTACAAACCACTGGTTGAGGTAACTTATGATGAACTGACTGAAGTTACGACTGAAGTTTCTGCCACCCAAGAACTCTCTCGCCATTATGCATTCCCCAAACACTGTCTTACTGTAGAGCATTAAAGAACAAAATAAGTGTATTTATTTTCACATGGAAGCCCCTAAAACGACTTGCCGCCTTTATTATGTTAATAATGTACTAGTTTAATCGCCCTGTCACCATGTAAGATGGCTCACTTTTCTCATATTTCTAAGCTATTTGCTTATTCTGATCTAATTTGCCTAAAAAAGTTATAAAAACAAAGCATATTTTGTTATTGAAACTTTGCTTTTAGTCCACAGGTCCCCTTTTCTCTCTCTAGAATGACACTTTTGTTACATTTGGCTCATGTAAGCTCTGCCTGCACTTCACAGAAAGAGAATGTAATGGTCCCTTTAGTTGAATATTAAAGCAAGATAGAAATGTTTGCTTAGTGGCTTTTCAGGCTAAGGGCAGAAGGGGTTCAAATTGCAGTTGGCAGAAAGTGTGGATCCTTGGAATAATTTCATCCCCCAAAGGAGACTGTGTTTCCTTTCCTTTTTCCACAGGAGAAAGTCTGCAGAGCTGAGAAAGCACGGGACAGATTGCTCGTTCTGTTGTGAGCCTACCTGCAGGAGTTAGCGTTGAACTTCTTGCCCTGCTGCAGACAGGACGGCAAACTCTCCCTGCACTGACACAGGCAGGTGTCGGGGTTCAACGGCTGGTTCCTGGGACACTCTGCAGCACACACACACCCGCACAGCTCCTCTTCCCAGCGCTGGCCGGCAGGGCACAACTTCCCCTCGCCTTGACCTTCACACTGACATTCACCTGCGGGGAGAGAGCTTCATCAGATATCGGCTGGTGGCGCTCCTCTGTCGCTGTTGTTGCTAAATATTTGGAGCTCAGGTTCTGACTTGTTAGATATTTTGCTTCCTAAAACTTCCCTGTGTTTATCATCCTGGCTCGATCTGGCCCGGCTGCTTTCAGGATGCCGGCCCCCTTTTCTTAACAATGTGGTTTATTTACAGTAAATCGACCTCTTGAACCAGGAGGTAACTACAGAAAAATGTGTGTTTCTTTAACCATTTTCTCACAAAAAAGGAGCCTTTTATCTAATATGTATAATAAGTGTATGTATAAGTAATTTAATATGGGTGTCCTTTAAAAGAAAGTCTTGAATATCTACTATATATAATTCAAGATATGTGGATAGCTTGAAAGCCTGCTTACAGGTGTTGTGGGCCAGTTTCCAGCCCGGGTCGCAGCTGTCCTCTGTGAGTCCGTTGCGACACACACACTCGCAGGACGATTCGTGCAGAACCCGGTTCGGCCCGCAGAGAGCCAGCAGCCCCGAGTCCAGCGCCTCTGAGAGCCACGTGGAGACAAACATAAGGTATTTAGGTCCTGCAAGCAAAGAAATGTACAAGTCTTTTGTTACAGCTGAATTATCTCTCCCTCCAGGGAATTCAATTGCAAGAGTTTCTCTTGGAAAACCCCAACAAGCATTATAGGGCCTCTTTAATATGGAGATTTTCCCAGATTTAGTTCATAAAAAGTGAAAATCTTTGGGTTTTGATGAACTGTAATGGATTTGGAGCATACAAATGAAATCAAAGTTGTATACTTTATCCTAATAAATCATGTACCTGTCTCTCTCTCAGAGTAGTTAACGGCGTCTCTAGAGACACACAAACAGTTCACTGGATCCCATAATGACCCCGAGGCACAGGGGACTTCGGGTGGGGAACACCTGCACACACACACACACACACACACACACACACACACACACACACACACACACACACACACACATTATTAGTATTGCATGTAAAAATGAGTCAGAAATGTTCTTTCACACACGCGTCACTCCTCTCTCTGACTCACAGGTGATCTGTCGCGGCTCGTCTGATGATGGAGTGCAGAGGCCGCTTCGTGATGCAATCGCAGGAAGTGTGGTTGACAAATGTTACCATGACGATGGAGCGCTCCATCCTGGGCGGGGACAGCTCCATCAACTGGGAGGAGGAAGAGACCAAGGTGTGTGAGTACACAACGCTATAAATTGTGCATGATTTTTCTTTTTCTTTTCTGCTTTCATGTTGGCCAAGTTATTCCGTTTTTTAAGATCTTCTAGAATAATTAAAGACTGGTAATGACTGAAGTGATTTCAGCCATGTGGAGGTTGATGTAATGACTGTGAGGTTGTGTAAGTGTGCGTGACTGTGTGTTGTAGTGATGTGCAGTTTAAAGGGTCCCTCTGCAGTAGGGCGGGTTGTGATGCATACACACACATACCAACACCATGCTGTCATCTGAGTGTTGAGTTAATCTGAGAAGTAGAACAAAGCTGGGCCCATTGAACATCATTTCAATACAGTACAATTTCAGATACTTGTACTTCAGTATAGAAATCAGAGTACCTCCTCTCCCTCCTCTTACCGTCTTGCTGACCAGTGTGTGGCTGGTGTTGGTGCAGTAGAACGCCTCGTTGTTGCAGCAGCCGCCGCAGCGGTGCAGCGCCACGCAGCGAGGCAAGAAGAACTGACTGGTGGATTCTGGGTATTCTTTAGCCACCTCAACACACACTTCTCTGGGCTGGCAGGAGGTCCGCTGGATCTCCTCTAAGATGACTGGCAAATGAAAACACATGTGATTAAGTGTGGGGAAACTCTCTGGCAGCTCACTGTAGTGTTTCAAGAATGAGCTCAAAAAGCATTAAAGAGGATTTATAGTAAGATTTTTGGTCTTTATAGGAGTTATAAAACATTTACTTGACAAAGTCCCGTCTACTTTAAAAAGCGCCTCCTCGCGGGGCTGACCCCACAGATCCTCCAGGTCAGAGTGGACCAGAGGGCTCGCTGAGGAGGAGGGAGAGGAGGAGGAGGGCCATGACTTCTTCCTCAGGCAGTGCTGAAGCCGGTTGAATTCTGGGTACAGAAGCTGTAACAGCTGATCCACGCTCGTCACTGACTCCAAACTGGGCTGGACATCTGACAGTTCTGGAGCCTGCAGACAGGAAGTAAATATGCAGAGAAATGTGAATTAACCAATAATTCTTTGGGAAAAACCCTTTTCTGTAGACAGGAATCGTGGTGGATGAAATCGACAAGAAGGGGAAAAACAAGCATGTGATTTTCTTTCGTATCTCCTCTGATAGCTAACAACGTGGTGGCTACTGTCAGTTATTATAGATATGTGTCCTCTCCGCGCGCACACACACACACACACACACACACACACACACACACACACACACACACACACAACACACACACACACACACACACACACACACACACACACACACACACACACACACACACACACACACACACACACACACACACACACACACACACTCACTCACACATTGTTGCATATGAGGAATCTGCAAAGTCTGCATTTCTTTCATTATGCCTTAGCATTGCTTTTTTGGTGGTTTCTTTTTATAGCATTCAGACGACTGTAAAACATGTCACCTCGGGCAGTGTGATACAATCAGAAAATACCTGCTGCTGCTGCTGCTGCAGTGCCCCTGAGCAAGATGCTGTGATCTGAAATGTTTCTAGGCCCTTCTGATATATTTCCTGGCACACTTCCTCGATGTGCCCTCCATTACAAGATAAGCTTTAAGTCTTCTATGTGCGAGCTTCGGAGCAGTCCTTAAATGCAGCATTAGACACAGTCAAGTGTCTTATTTCAAAAACCACAAGTTCACTTTTCATGTAACTTCCAGGTCTGGAAACTGCACTTATTGTACTATTAGGGAAGATCTCGGTTTACAGTAGCTCCGTTCCTCCTGTGAGTCATCCTGTAATGGTTTCTCTGACTTTGTTCCACTCCGTAGAGACACACTACACACAAGATAAAAGGTTAATGGTGTAACAGACTGGCTGCTGTCAGTTGAATGTTTGTGTGTCACGTATTAATTCTTCCCCCGGGGAGTGAGCGTAGTTGTTTAGTTTCCCAGGCGGAGGAGAAGCAGACTGGTACAGCTGGCATCACCTTAACAGAAACCAGATCTCTGACGCTATCAGTGGATATATCTCTTTCTCTCTTTTCCTCCTCCCCCCTTTCTGTTTGTTTCTAGCCATCCGATATGACTCATCATAATGTGTAACCTTAAAAAACTATTCTGATTTCATGTAAGATTCTGGCTTCTGTATGTAAGGGTGGAAATGAATTATGGCATGAAATCAAAGTAAGTTGAGTCCAACGCTTTATAGTTGAAAAAGTTATATCATTTATTCTCCCTCTCCTTCGTCTTGTTAAGTGATCACATGACATGAGGTCATCGCTGTTGGACGATGAGGTCATGATGTATAAATTACCAGTGCTCTGCAGCATTAGATACTTCACACACGCACATGCACACACCCAATGCAATCGTCACACACTCTTTCTGCCAACATTTACAAGCAACAACAACACCATTTTAATTTCTGTTTATACTCCCATCTTATTAGGTCACTAGGATTCCTTTAATTCAGTTCCAAGATGATTGGATTTCCAGTGGATTTGAACACAATCCCTTGTATTTTAATATTAATAAATGTCAGAGGATATCATGACGCATAGCTTTTAGAGAGGGAAAGCTTTTACCTCATCCCCAGAGAGACTTCCAGGGAAGAACAACACATATTCCTGCTGGCTCATGCACGGCATTTACAGTAAAGTAGTTATCTGAAACCAAATCTTACGCTGTATATTACTGAGAAATTCACTGCAGAAACAGGAGTAGAAAGAGAACCTTGGCTGCCTTTTATTTCTTAAATAAGTGCATTAAACCCTTTGGATGATTACCACTACCAGGAGTGTTTTGCTATTTAATTGAGGTAATTGTAATAATGATGTATAATATATTTAAAGGGGCCCTATTGTGCAAATGTTCAGGTTCATATCAGTATGTAGTTTCTCTACTGGGACATGTCTCCATGCTCTAATGTTCAAAAAGCTCTTTATTGTTCTCATACTGCCTGTGCGGCAGCAGCTCTTTTCCCCCTCTGTCTGAAACCAGAGCCCAGTCTGCTCTGATTGGTTAGCTGGCCGGCTCTGTTCTGATTGGTCAACTGCTTAGATATGTCCCTCCCCTTAGCCTGTCATGTACAATGTGTTGGAGGGCTAGCCAATAGAAGTGCAAGAGTTACATCATGATGTCACTATGTTCCGAGAGTAAACAAAGGAGTCCAATGGAGGGGGGAGTGTGTGGGAGAAAAACTCCCTCTGGAGGGAACTTTGTGATTGACAGGTCGCTTCCACAGTGCTCTGTGTTTTTGGCTTACACCTTCAGAGTGGGTTTTCATTTCATGAGATTTCATTTTTGCATTTCGGTCGCCTGAAAATGTCTTAGCTGTACTTTGCTCTATTGTATTGTCTTTTTTCTAGTTCCATATATTTCTATAGTCCTTGAAATCAGTTAAGCCCCGAGCCTGACGAAAAAATGTCGAAAATCGAAAATGACATTCCCAGAACAAATGACTATACCTTCACTTCTAAAAGGGGAAAATTAATAATCTTTTTTCTCAAAGAAATTATAAACCTGTGAGTTGGATGTAGAAGAGTCAGAATCAATATAGAATTTGTTTATTTTAAAGTAAATTGAGATTGAACATAGTAAAAAAAATTAAAATTATAGTGTCTGTCCAGAAAGAAAACATTACTTATAGTGAAAACCACCCTTGAATGATGGGATAGTAGACTAAAAGCTTTAGGAATCCAAACTATAGATTGATGCAAAACAAGTGACATTTGACCTTTTTAGAGAGATTTATAAAAATAAAACACTTCTGGGGTCATTTGGGTGCATTTTCCATATCTCTGGCCCCCCTCTGGATTTTGATGATTGACACCTCTTGTTATCCGTTAGAGCCAATAGAATCGAAGGGAAGTTCCTAAAATCCATCTAAACATTACCCATTGGTGAATTAGTGATGCGTAGCCAGAATGCCCAAAACCGGAAGCTGTCATACACTCTCGTAGCAGCTAATATGAAAACTCCGTTATTGACATAAATATGAAGATGGATTATCAGTAATCATTTCAGACACATTGGATTAACCTTCTGCAGCGTTTTGATCGTTTTGATGCCATTGAACACAACTTTTGATCAGAAACAGCAAAAGGTAAGACATTTCTCCCGTGTTTGCTCCATAATGCTACGTGGTGTGATGTCTGGGTTTGCTTCCCCTGTCGCGAGTTCTGATCGCTCAGTGATGATATCTGTGGAATCTCAGCTTGCTAATCGATATCTTGTTTGTGCAGATCCGATAAGTGATAAGGGTATTTTTTCCGTGAGTTCTGTGCTAAGTGCGTTAGCATATTTTCGCTCAGGGCTAATTCAGAGCCTTTCTTATTACCCATATGTTTCGTTTTGCTAAAAATGGTTAATTTTGTCTGAAAGCAGAGTTTCTTCCCGTTAAGTGGGTATGACACATCCATAGTTTGTTAAATGTTAAGATGCCCTCAGACGCTGTTTCTTGCAAGATGTTGCGTTTTGCCCCCGCCCGCGGGGCCGTGGGGTTTAACTGGTTAGGTGATGTCACAATGATTACTTCCTTTCTTTTATACTTATTTAATCATCATTGCCATGTACCATCTTATACACCATAATCACAGTCTGATATTATTTACCGCATCCCCACCTCTTTTATCAATTAAGATCGAGCACTAAGCTCCAAAAAACTAAATATTTGCATTTCACAACAGCTTATTGATATCCCTTCTATACTCTTGTATATCTCATAGATACATTACAGCATTATAAACACTTGTTTGCTTTGAAACTCTGAAACCCAAATGTATTTTGGTTCTTTACAAAATAGAACAAATACAATGTGGTGGATTAGAGAGATATCCTGTTGGTCATGCTGCTGCTTGCCACTACCCATAAACCCCAGGTGGATCACTGTGTGTCTGAATGGTCTTGTTGTGATGTTTTGTTGCTTGATAGTTACTTTCCCCACCAGTTTACATTTATTTCCAGGCTGTAGAAGTTACTAAAAGGACTTTTTAAAGATGATGATTAATAAAATGTCTCACCTCGGTGCCCATGTCTCCTATTGTAGAATAGTCCGGGTAGTCTTGCGCTGCGCACAGATAGCTGCTGTTAAGAATCCATATGAGCAAAGCTGGTATCCACATAGTGAGGAGATGGAGAGGAGAGGAGATATCAGGGCAGAGGAGGAGGAAGTGAGTGTATTTAAAGTGAAAGAAAGGGAGGAAGGAAGGAGGAGAGGAGAGGAGGAAAAGGAGGAGGGTATCACAGAGTCGGCAGGTATCTCTTGGCTCCTCTCGTCATTTTATCCCGGGACGAAGTTGCTCTTCCGGCGCAGGTTGTTAGAATTTGGGAAGCCAGCTGAATGAAACATGGTGAGGAAACGGTGTCCCCTTCTTCCCTCAAACACCGCTCCTTTTCTTTTCCACTTCAAAGGAAGTAAGTCCTCTTTTCCTGCTGCGTCTCCATTGTTACTGTGATGTCAGGTGTCCGTTAATCTCCTCAGTTTCTCTGACCTTCAACTTCTGCGTCAATCTCTTCTCCTTCGCCCTTCACACTTGTGCACCTCCTGGCTTTCTTTATCTTTATTTTCTCCTCACACAACAGCTGTGCTCTTCCCTCCCTCCCTCCCTCTCGCAGATTATCCCTTCCCTCTTTATCTGTCTCCTGTTTCTTCCGCGTGAACCTCCGGGGCAAAGCTCTGTCTGTCTCCTTCTTTTCTTTCTAAATCAACTTTTCCTGATCCTTTGTGAAACATCAAAGAGGGAAGAGCTTATTCCAAATCCTGTTTCCAAACGGAGGTTTTAAGAAAAACTGCTTCTGGTGTTTAATCAAACAGAGGGAATGTGCGTCCTGCCCTCAGACGTCCTGGTGGAGTGAATGAGGAATAATGCACGATTGGAAGGATTGTATCTGGTGGGAGGAGTGAAGGATTTCATGGAGATGATTCGTGCGTAATAGCTTATTATATTTGCCCATTATTCCCCCCACCCCCTAAACATTTTTATTAGTGTCTGCAGAAACTTCCTATCAAAGCATGCCATCATTCTCATTTTGTATTATAATCAAAAGTCCTTTATTCGTCCCACAGCGGGGGGATTTAGCTATTTTGCAGCAAAGGGAGAGTCACAAAAGGAAAAAATAAAAAAAGTCCACCCCACCTGCCTGAAACGCCTCCGTTGGACCCCTTTCATTACTTTATGAACATAAGGACATCACTATGTAACACTCCAACCCATACGTGATAGGGCTCTGGTTTCAGACAGAGGGTGAAAAGAGGTGCTGCAGCACAGGCAGTATGAGAAAAATAAAGAGCTTTTTGAACATCATGGAGACATGTCACAGTAGAGACACTAAATACTGATATGAACCTGAACATTAGCATCATATGTCCTCTTTAAATTCACTGGAGAGAGTTTCAGTTGTGAAATCACTCTGTTATCTCTTTGTCCTTCCATTTTAGTTATTCCTCATAACATGAGCAGCTGCCTCTAAAAGTGTGTGTGTGTGTGTGTGTGTGTGTGTGTGTGTGTGTATGTGTGTGTGTGCGCAGTAGCAGCCGTGATGAATGTGTGTGTTGCTCTAAGTGCCTTTTTATGAGCTGATAATACCTTTGCTGTCTCTCTCTCTCTCCCTCACTGCTTTATGTCGGCTGCTTTTCTTTTTCAACGGCAGGACAGACATAAAACCTTGAAATTGCCCTCACACCTGCAGCTGCAAACACCTCTTCCTCCTTTACACTTCATCAAGCTGCATCGTTATCTTCCTCCTTCCCCCTTTTCACCTCTTTTCTGGTTTTACCGTTTCAAGGTGCTTAAAATGGCAAACTTTACATACCTGCTTAACTGTACCGCCCTCAGGCTGCTGGCATGTGTGTCATGGACAGTAGTACGCCATTACGTGTCCTTTTTCTTTAGCTAGTTAAGTATATTTTGTACGGTTTTGTATTGCTCCTTTAACTCAAGTCTTATTCCACCTCTAGTCCTACAGGATGAAGAGGAGAACAAGGTGAGGAAGCTTTATTTTTAAATTATAATATCTAGTTTTTTTCTTTTCTCAGGGTGAAGCAGTTACCGACAACTGTGAAATAAATGATGGGGCAGACAGACGGACAGACAGGAGGACGACCAGGCGGAAGGAGGAAGAGGTATGTCTGGGAAACGCTCGGGTGAGAAAACATCCGATTTTTGGGCCAGTCACTGCCAGCCTTTTCAGGGATTAAAGACTCACACACACAAACACACACACGCACGGCAGCGGCAAGTGTCTGCTTGCTTTATGGGTTGAAATCCGCACAACCAAATTCCACATTCCTCTCATTGCTGTCTCCATTTCATCATGAGAGCACAGAGCATGATAAAGAGGTGGAAGAAGTACTCAGGTCCTTTACTAAAGTCAGAGTACTAACACTACACTGTAAAAATACTTAATAGCAAGGAAATAAAGGAAATTCAATTGAACAAAACAGATTTCTGTGACGTAAAGCATGGTTTAAACAGAATTTAAGTAGAATTACATAGTTATTAATATGATACGTGCTCATTAACAATACATACCCAAATTATCATAATAAAACCATTTATATCTGAAATGTCGTATAATATGAAAACTTGAGAAACCATACTGTTGCAATCTATTTTCATTATTCACTTCTACAGATAAGATACAGTATTTGTTTTAGTCACATTCCTCTTCATCCAGTCAAACACCCAAATAATGATTTCACTTGTAATTTTATTATTTTATTCTGTATATTAAAAAACAACAGGTTCTTAAGGTGTAGGTACTTTATTTCTTAAGGGTTGCAAACATCAAAGAAAGTAAAAAGAAAACACAAAAACAAAAGCATATTCAATTATATTCCAACAAACAAGACTAGGTGCCAAATGCCCTGAAATATTTATTCAGTTATAAATAATATAACAGCCTGCAAATGTCCATTTAAAGGAACAGTTCACCACAAACAAATATCTCTTATCTTAGGTGCTATTTATCAATCTAATCTCATTCATTGTACACCATAATAATCTAGATTAATGATACAGGTAAGAGGTGAATTATGTGTGAACTGTCCCTTTAACGCCAACACATGTCATTTAATTTGTGGATCAGTTTCTCTTCTCCCAGTCGTCCTTGCTCCACATGTGTTGTTTATTCTCCGCTGCGACATTCTGTGCCCTGCAGGAGATAGAGCACCAGACACTGAGCGAGTCCTCACAGCAGGGACGCTTCAGTGCAGAACTGTGGAAGTCTTTTTTGTGTCCATAGCTATTGGGCTGGTGGTGACTGAACTGGAGGCTCGTCTGTCTTCATGCTCTCAGCTGGTGGACTCTGTTTGGCCAGCTTGCTGTAAATGGTCATGGCCTAACGGTAGCAAAAACACAATAGTTAGGACTCAGGAATCAATCATTTAATCATTCAAATATGAATTATGTAGCACAAATGACACATTTAGTATATTCGTTGTGGTAAGATTCCTCATACCTGCGTGACCATGCCACTGATGTTCCCTGCGTTGGAGGGCAGCAGCAAAGTGTTGGATTTTTTGGCGAGGTTGGAGAAAGCAGCGACGTACTGCTCGGCCACACTCAGAGAGGCCGCGGCATTCCCGTTCTGTTAGCAGGCGAAACCAAAATGAAGTTACTGGAACATACCGGGAATATCATTCTCCAAATAATGCAGGATAGAGCCGTAAAATGTACCTGTTCAGCCAGAGCGTCTGACAGCAGACGGATGGCCTTGGATTTAGCTTCTGCTTTGGCTAACACAGCCTGGGCTTCACCTAGAGACACAGAAAAGTACATTTTGTATTTTTAAGTGCGCTTTAAACCTAATTTTACAACATTCCTCTGGCTCATTTCTTCCCAAACGTGCTCGCATGTTTGATTTGTTTAAAGTCTGAGTCACCATATCCTTGTGCAACACATTCTACAGGCATGCAATTAAATGCTTTCTGGATTTACCGTAATGACGGCCTCTAAGTCGTACGCTAACAAGACCTTCAATTACATTTGTGATGGCATGATTTGTGCACGGGTCAATGGAAAATCCCAGTTAAACAGTTGTTCAGTCAAATGTAAAATGCACCCACCGGCTGCCTTGTTGATCTGCTCCGCCTTCTCCCCCTCTGATGCCAGGATCTGAGCTTGCTTGCGGCCCTCAGCGACGTTTATTCCCGACTCCCGCATCCCCTCAGACTCCAGCACTGTGGCTCTCTTCTTACGCTCAGCTTCCACCTGGACAGGAAACAATGCGCAGAGAAGGAAGTCAAATATTTGAGAAACAAAATTGGTTTAATTCTCATAACCTGAAGGACCTCTCTTGAGAAACAGTCTTCAATTGTCTCAATATTTATACATTGAAGTTTATATATTACTTTTAAGGGATGCCTGAAAGCAGGATCCTGCAAAGTATGGCTGATGTCAGTCTTGTTTTAAGTGTGTGTGTGTGTGTATGTGTGTGTGTGTGTGTGTGTGTTGTGTGTGTGTGTGTGTGTGTGTGTGTGTGTGTGTGTGTGTGTTACCTGCATCTGCATAGAGTCTTTAATACGAGGTGGGACTTGTATATCTTTGATTTCATATCGCAGGCAGCGGATTCCCCAATCGTCTGACGCCTGGTTGATGGAGCGCACAATGTTGGAATTCAGGGACTCCCTTTCCTGGAGAAGAAGCAGGTTCAAGGTAAATACGTGCATCATTATTTTGTTGCTACGCAGTAAGATGTGCAGATGTTTCTTACCCTGAACACTTTATCCAGCGTGAGTTTGCCCAGTTCTGAGCGCATTGTGGTTTGTGCGAGCTGAGTCACAGCGTACTCTGGATCCTCCACACCATAACTAGCCTGCAGAGAGAAAAAGGCCTCAGTGTGGATACTTTCACACATGATCCAATTTACTGGCACCACCTGCTGGCTTAACAGAGCTATTTCATTATGACACCAGTGTTCACATTTGAAAAGACCTTTAGTCCCAAATGAATTGTCGAACACTGTGAAATGCAAATGTATTTTTTTAACTCTTTCTCAGAATTGTTATCTTATTATATGCCATTATTTAAACCTAAATTACCCCTTATAGCTAAAACCCACAGGTAGCACCCACCTTTGCCAGGCTCTTTTGTTTATAGCTTATTATGACAAGCATACCTTCAAAGGATCCAAGATTCTCAGATAAAGGACCCCGTCAATTTGTAGAGTCACATTATCTGTCGAAAGAAAGAGAACACACAGTATATAGCTTATTTGAACCACTAATAAGCACAATTGTTTTTGTAATTTGGAGGAAAAACTAACCTAGAGATACAGCTGACTGTTCAGGGATGTCAATGACAATCTCTTTCAGGCTTTGCACGTAACGAACTTTGTCAAGAACGGGAATGAGGAAGTTGAGTCCCTATGAAGAGAGGACAGGAAATGATAAGTCTTATATTTTTGTATACCTTTACATAGATAAATTGTGCCTTGTGATAATAGCCTCCTCGTGTACAGGCCGATAATTACCGGCTCTAAGACCCGGTGAAAGCGGCCCATCCTCTGCACCACCCAGGCCTCCTGCTGCGGCACAAACAGCACCACGGTGTTCATGGGTAATCGGGAAGCACATCTTTGCTGGGAAAGAGTCACCCACAGCCTGGGGAGAGACTGCTGGGAGTTCTGCAGGGATAGGAGACACGTAGTGATGTATAAATCAGTTCATATGTCCTTATTTCACAGACAAACAGTGTCTTAGTTTGTGGGAAAACGGTCAGGGTATCTATCTATCCATCTATACCTATTCATAATTACGTCATTACGTATTGCACGTAAAAGCGTGGCTCTATTTTCTCTTGAAGCATTCATGCTTCATACTGGAGCTTAACATGTATTTAGTTAATCCATTAAGCGGACATATCACATAGTAGTGCAGTACCACAACAAAAGAGATACGTTTAGATCATATATACAGTCTATGGTTTAGATACACCATTTATTCATATCAAAACAATAATATCTGCGTAACACCTGTTCACACCTGCGCTCATTACAAGCTGGACAAAAGCATGCAGACACAGCTAATTTTACCAAATTTCCGCAGGTAAACTTTTTCTGGTTTAGTTCTGGATAAAGAACTGTGTTTAATGATACAAGTGCACATATAGGAAGCTTATATGTCAGGTGATACCAGTTGACATAACCAATACATTGTAAGAGTAGGGCTAATGTTAGCAAGCAGCTAGCTAAGCTATCTAGCCAACTCGTCTGCGCAGAGAGACTTTAAGGCTTTTATAAACAATTTGTTTACCTTAAAAACAGCGCCGCCGGTCCGACATAATGTCCCTAACATGTTTTAAATGAAACCGATTAAGTCCTGTATAAAGTTAGATAGAAATTGTAGCCTTCAAAGTCATGTTATATCCAAAATATGCTGGTCGTCTCCATTGCTTTCAACAGATGTTAAAAGGCAGCCTCGCCCCCTGTTGGTTCGGATGACAGCACTGCAGCCAAATAAACTAACTACTTGAATTATTATGACATAATAACAGTTTTTACTAAAGTAAAACAAATGCTGGCAAACATTATGTGTTTTTATTAATATCAATGAGGGTTTTGTCTTCTTTTAAATAGATTGTGTTATTTTGTCTCCTGGAAAGAAATAGAAAAACACTTTGCTTGTAAACGCCCTTGAAAATTCAAGATGTTTTTCAAATCAATAATAAAGGAGAAAAAGATAGTAGGTGTACTATCAATATGTGCCTCCTCAAGGACAGGCTATAAGATTACTTTTATTTTAGCTCCCATTATTTGCTAATGGTCAGATAAACCTGAATAACTACAATAAACTCTTAAAGCACTGCTTTCTTAGTAAACAGGTACAGGTCAAATATATAATTGTTGATCTTTTATTTATATGTTGCAGAATCAAATGCAATTTAACAACTATATTCTCATCTATTATATTTTGCAGGCATGCTTCATAAAGACACATGAGAAAGCCTCCCTTACAGGTAAGTTTACGAATAATACACCAAAGTAAAGTGCATAATAATAATAATAATAATGCATTTGTCTTTTATTTTTATGTTTTTTCGCAGGAGTGAACCGAATTGTAGCAAGACAGACAATGAAAATGACATGATTATATTTGTTTTTCATTTGAAAGCATATTAAAGCTGCAGAAAATACATTATGTCAGAATTTAAAACAGCTCAATCATGTTTTTAGCAACAGTTAAGAGAAAGCAAAACATAAAAGCTATTTTAATCACAGTGATAGCATTTTTATATAGTCTTTTAAGACAATAACTTACTGACTTTACATCTTTAAGAAGACATTTTGACAAAATAAAACCCACTAAGGAACTAAGATACATTTGTAATAAGTCTACTTAAATAGTAATTTAATAGTCAATACATATATTTATCGTATAATGTACCACTCACATACACATATGTTTTGGCAAAGCATTAAAATGTTTAGCTTCATCACAATATGCATTATTTGTTCTGGTTTCTTAGTGTTAATGAGAGCTGGTAAAGACACAAGCAACACATGTATACGATGCAAACCACAGAGATTAAACATAATTAAATCATGACATGTCTGTTTTATATTCTTCATTCATTTTCAAGTGTTATTGTGTTTTTTCTGCAGGGTGCTAATGACTGACGCCTTCATGGAGGACTACACAGTGAGCATGGCTAGAGAACTCACACACACAAACGGGTTATACAAACAGCATGTCTAATCATAACTGTAACAAGACCAAACACAGAGACTTTAAAGTCCCGGGAGTCAGGCTGCAGTATTCTGAGGGTGAAGATGAGTTTGATAGCTTTTCTAAACCAGGGGTAGAACAGAGTGTAAATGAGAGGGTTCAGACAGGAGTTCACCAACATGATCCAAGACAACACAGCAAAGTACGACAGGAGGTTTGACGTGGCCTCGCCTGCTATAGAGGGGTAGTAATACGGGCAGAAGCACATCAGAAACACAGCTATCACAATCCCCAGAGTCCTAGCTGCCTTCATCTCTGATATCTTAGCGATGGGAGCTGCACGGACAGTCTGCAAGCGGATCACACGCACCTGAGAGATGGCAACCACAAACACCCTCATATACAGAACCACCATAACAGTAGAGGGCCCAACAAATGTGACAAACAGGTCAACAATTCCTGCAATGTGGCTGATGACCACCACACACTCTCCGTGGCAGGATTGGAACCTGTCCGGCTGCCCTAAGTGTCCCATCAGAATGCAGCCGTTATAGAGGACGGAGCAGGCCCAGCACAGACACACTGAGGCTTTAGCTCTGGGCAGGGTGATCTTAGAGGAGTAGAGCAGCGGCTGACAGATAGACAGGTAGCGGTCGATGGAGATGAGCACCATGTTGCCCACAGAGGCAGAGAGCAGGCAGTAGGACACGTACGGAGTCAGAGCGCACATGAGCCAGCCCAGCAGCCAGCACGTCTCCATGTAGCGCAGGCCTTCGATGGGCATCACCAGCACCCCCACCACCAGGTCGGACACGGCCAGGGACAGCAGCAGGCTGTTGGTGGGGGTGTGCAGCTGCCGGAAGTGAGAGATGGAGATGATGACGAGCAGGTTGAGGGTCACTGTGAGCAGAGAGACGAAGGCCAGCAGGGTGTAGAGCAGAGCGGACTCAGAGTGGGGGGGAGGCAGGCGCCTGCAGGAGGAGTTGAGGTTGGGGAAGCAGAGCGGAGAAACCTCGCTGCTGTCCATCAGGGAGGAGAGAAGAGATGCTACACCCTATCAAAGGGTCCATTTATCCTCCTCAAACCCCCCCTCCCAGCTTTTACAAACACCTGATGAATGATGCAATTTCTCCCTCCTCCTTCTTACAATTAGATGTTTTTATTATGATTTACTTTTAAGTTATTATATGGACTTCATATTTACTTGTGTTGGGCTTTAAGTGGGTATTGAGTTGGGTAGTTTCAGCACATAGCTAGTGATAATAGAAAATGTAGTCAGGCATTACACATCATTTAATAAGTTTAAACAATATATAATTTATTATACACTATGAGTGAAAAGGCACAAGCTTGGTGCTGACATATGCCTGACCTTTATTCGTATCAATTTCAGTTCATTTTCTCGCTAAGGGAGAGTACATGTTTGTTTTATTATTTTCTTATTCAGAGTTTTCCATTTTGAATTAATATCTTTAAATAAATACAGAAATAAGACATAAAGGAATACAAAAGAAAGAAGGATTTATATTGTGCTACTTAATCATTTCAAATGGTTCTATCTGGAGAAGAGGTAGGGAGACGCGACAGATGGAAAGGGTTTAGCATTACACGTCTCTTGATATCTTTTTATAAATCAGAAAACACTGCGAACAGTCTTAAAAAAATAAATCCCTGCCATGCTTTATGATTAAAACATCTAAAAATGAGTCTATGAATGATACATGAGTCAAGCCCTCTGCGAACAGCTTTAGTGTATAGATAGCAATACAACTAAAATAAGTGTTGTGTATGTAAGTGTTACTAAAGAGAATATTTCTGGAGCAAAGTATTAGAAAAAACATATTATTTTAGTAAAGGTCCTTTAAATACATGCATTATACAATGATATATATTGCAAGACTTCACTAATGTGTATTGTCCCTATTCAAATTATACAATGATATATATTGCAAGACTTCACAGGTGCATATGGTAAGAGAAAAAGTGTTTTACTTACACTAGGACAATTCTTTGATACACGTTTTCTTTATATTTATTTTAAAACATCCAATTGAAGCTTTATCTCATGATAGCTTTGGGTGAATTTAGGAGAAATCTACAGACACATCCTACACTTGACCTATTCAAGCAAAACAGCTCAAACTCTCAAAATGATCTATGTAAGAAGTAACATTTGAATTGCCTTTTTAGTGTCTCTGTGTGCTTTTAGACTGAAGCAAATGTTCTCTAACCTTTGTGACTCACAGGCCTGATTCACACGGATGCCGTGAAGTGTTTATACATTAAGTGTGACGCTTTCATTTTCTGTTGGGACAAAACATGCAGTTTGTTACATATTTGTGTAAGAATAAGCCAGCAGAATACAGCATAACAAAAGGGGAATATAGACAGCATTAAAATGAACCGTGGCAGACATAAATCACCACTTTTATCAGGTTATTTTTATATAAGCAGCTCAACACTAAACACTATAAACTAAATCAAAGAAGCCCACTGACTAGTCTACTAAATAAGAACATGGTTATTCATAAGTGTAATTTTGTACAATCTTGTTAGTGCTAGTTTTTAAATTCACCTTTTTATGCTTTCTTGATGCTTATAACAATTGGGTGAAGGTATAAGTGACAAAGTGTTTCAGAGGCCATACAGCTGTAATATGTAAAAACAAACAATGTCTCATTCAAGGCCAATAGACATGTATCTAAAGAGAGAGGTCACATACGCCATAAAGGCTTTTCAGTCAGTGATTAGGTTTGTATTCATGAGAAAAGCTGTTAACGTGGGACAAAAGGAGGGGCTCTGTCTGGGGCCTTGTTTAAGGTATCTGTGGTTCTGCGGCAGATATAGTTAAACAAGTTAGCAGAACACTGGAAAACGACAATAAACAGATGATTTGAGTGCTTTCTACAATACTTTTTCATCCTGGGAGTCAGGCTGCAGTATTCTGAGGGTGAAGATGAGTTTGATAGCTTTTCTAAACCAGGGGTAGAACAGAGCGTAAATGAGAGGGTTCACACAGGAGTTAGTCAGCATGATCCAAGACAACACGGCGTAATAAGACAAGCTGGTGGACGTGGCCTCGCCTGCTAGAGAGGGGTAGTAATACGGGCAGAAGCACATCAGAAACACAGCTATCACAATCCCCAGAGTCCTAGCTGCCTTCATCTCTGATATCTTAGCGATGGGAGCTGCAGGGACAGTCTGCAAGCGGATCACACGCACCTGAGAGATGGCAACCACAAACACCCTCATATACAGAACCACCATGACAGTACAGGGCCCAACAAACGAGACAAACAGGTCAACAATTCCTGCAATGTGGCTGATGACCACCACACACTCTCCGTGGCAGGATCGGAACCTGTCCGGCTGCCCTAAGTGTCCCATCAGAATGCAGCCGTTATAGAGGACGGAGCAGGCCCAGCACAGACACACTGAGGTTTTAGCTCTGGGCAGGGTGATCTTAGAGGAGTAGAGCAGCGGCTCACAGATAGACAGGTAGCGGTCGATGGAGATGAGCACCATGTTGCCCACAGAGGCAGAGAGCAGGCAGTAGGACACGTACGGAGTCAGAGCGCACATGAGCTGGCCCAGCAGCCAGCACGTCTCCATGTAGCGCAGGCCTTCGATGGGCATCACCAGCGCCCCCACCACCAAGTCGGACACGGCCAGGGACAGCAGCAGGCTGTTGGTGGGGGTGTGCAGCTGCCGGAAGTGGGAGATGGAGAAGATGACGAGCAGGTTGAGGGTCACTGTGAGCAGAGAGACGAAGGCCAGCAGGGTGTAGAGCAGAGCGGACTCAGAGTGGGGGGGAGGCAGGCGCCTGCAGGAGGAGTTGAGGTTGGGGAAGCAGAGCGGAGAAACCTCGCTGCTGTCCATCAGGGAGGAGAGAGGGAGGAAATGGTAAAACTCTCTACAGGACAGTTCATTTATCCTTCTTCAACTTCACCCTCCCATTTTGCTAAGAGATGATGTAACTTCTGAACCTCAAAATATTCTTCATCTTTATCACCCTCCCTTTTTTTATTTTCTCATCCTTAACCAAAAAATGATAAAGACAATAGGGCAGAAGACCACCAAGGAGATACAACCCATTCCAAAATGAAAGAGGACATACATAAAATCATAACTAGAATATCTTACACAGGTACATTCATTTAATACATGGTAAAATGACAAATGTGAAGTTAAATAAGTACAAAAAAAACAATATACTACACCACGAAGCTTTGAAATAAAGATACATCCCACTTTTAAGTAAGACATATGTGATTTACAAGACAAAGGTCCATGTCCAATACTGCAGTCAAATTATAAATGAACATTGAATGATTTTCTTTTTGCTAAATTCTAGGTATATTTCTGATGTGTTAACATTGGTTTCGATGCATCACAGTACATTACAGTACATTTAGTCAAGTACTGTACTTAAGTACAATGTTTTGGTACTTTGTAATTCTACTGTGATACAATTCAGAGGTAAATAGAGAACTTTTACTCCACTACATTTATTTAATACTTTGCAGATTTGGATTAATAATGTGAAATATAATCAACTCTTAAATCAGACTTTAGTTCCACCTGGAGTAAACTCACAAGCTACCCTGCAGTATACAAAGTCCAACTAGCTGCACCGATACCAGCTTTGAGAACACTTTCATGATCAATCATTAGAAAACACATCATAAATCATTAGAAAATGAGCCAATCTGCATAATAAGTACTTCCCGTACTTTAAGTGTATTTTGATGCTAATACTTGACTGTACTTTATTTGAATAACATTTTGATTGCTGGAATTTTACTTGTAAAAGAGTATTCCTACACTCTGGTACTTTTACTTAAATACAATATCTAAGTACTTCTTCCACCTCTGGTTATTCATAAAGGGTCTTGGGTGTCTTACTCATTAGAATCAGAGGAAAAACGTGTACCCTTTTTGATGAGAACTACCAAATCCTAATTCACTTTCATATGATGAATGTTCATTTCATTATTTCCTGTATGCTTAATAGTAGGGGGATTTTTTAAATCTGGGATCTGTCAATGTCTCCATTGATTTTGATTAATAATTGCAGAACCAAGGACCATTTCTCAAAACGATGTTTGTATCATCTTATAAGCCAATACGTTTGTAGCCAGCCTAACACAGCATAGTTAGAGAATAAATTGGTCGCCCTGTAATGTATGTGTAAAGACAATTTACTCAAATGATTGTTAAAAAAGGCCGAAGACTTATTTTAAAGGGAACGTTTGGATGTTTGGACGTGGAGTTGTATATATATTGTAAATACTCATATCTACAGTAAGCTTATTGTTAGCAGCTTAATGTTCAAGCAACAATACATAAACTCTTCTTCTATGGCATTAAGGCAGAAAGCAACAATGCATGAAAAAACTTATTTAAGTACGCAAAGTTTCTTTGTGACTTGTTTACCTGTTTTCATCATTACCGTTTGTTTTTGAACACCTCAGATTGGACTTGTGTCTAGTGGTTTGGAGGTGTTAAGATACAGTTTATACAGGTAAACATTATAAACCTTCTGCTAATGAGGCGCTTGTTTTGCTGTAATATGATCTCAGAGGCATTACTGTCAGTGTCTATGTGTATTTGTGTAGATGTTACATCATATTTTAGCTTTACAGTAATGTAGTTATTATTTGATGGAAATTGGAATACAAATATGTTCTCACATCAACATCATCTTGGCACTATTTTATTGTTAGCCTACTTACTTTTTAGATGCGGGTCCCCCCTTATGTCCGGTACTAATTTTTTAGATAAGGGGTGACAGCCCACATTGGAAGAAACCAACAGACCCACTTCTATACAAGGTGCAGTGTTTTTTTTAGTCAAACAAATAAACAATTAAAAAGCTCGATAAAACAAACTCATAGCATCTCAGATTATATAGTTTAGAGAAATACGTGATGATCTAGAAGGCAGGAGGTTGAGAGGTGGATTCTTGTGAGGGGCAGTGATTTTTAGGCCCCAAATGAAGGGGTTAAATATACAAGAGTGGAGATT